ATGTGTGCGTGAAAATTGTAACAACATTGTGTGTGACTCATCGTCGATGCAACTCAACACAACAAATACTCATTGGTAAAGTTCTTACTGTATTTTTTCTCACAAACGCTACGTGAGATCTTCTTCCTTGAAGTCTGTCTGTTGTCTGACGCAGCCGAGGGAGGAGATTAAGGCACACAGAAAGGCACATAGAAACGGTAGACGGGGAGGACTAGCCTTAAAGGTGCAGTACGAAAAAAACGCCCCCTGGTGCAAAAATTCATAAAATAGAATCTTGTGAAAGGTATAATGAAAAATCTAATGGGTGTTTTGAGCTGAAACTTTACAGACACATTCTAGAGACGCAAAACACTTTTAATAAACCTGAAAAAAGGTGTAACCTAGGTGCCCTCTAAGTGTCTGTATAATTTCTTATCTTCAATTCATTTGTTGGGCTTGCAGCATTTTTGTAAAACAAAAATGAAAATAGGTGAATATCTATACCACATATATGTTTTTAGACTTTACTATGGATAAAAACAAATATTTGTTTTATATATTAAAGTATGTTGCTTGAAATATGTTTATTAAATGTAACATTGAATGTCAATTTCTAAGTAATTGTAAGCATGTAAACATCTAATAATTACTACATTTACCTGGTCTAGAAACATCCACTAATAAGGATTAGAAGTACAAAATTAAAAACAAAAAACATTTAAAAACATATCGAAAGATTACTTAACATCACTGAAACAATTTATTCAGTAATGTCACATCAACAAAACTAAATCAAAGAGTTCGATCAGGTATAAATAGCTCAACTCAGGTTACCATTTTTCAGTGTAGCATATCTGAGCAATTTATATGGCATCAGGCTCAAAGGGAAGCTGGGATAGATGAAATATTGTGTCTCTTGTGCATTCTGACAGCTTTATTTTTCATGTATTTTGTTATCAGTACGATCTGACCTCAGCAGATGGATGATCCCTGACTGAAGCGGTGAACTCTTCAAAACAAAAACACAGATAAGTGTACTAAACTGGGGAATGAAACTGAAAAACACATCCAAAGCACACGCTGCTCTTTTTACACGCCTCAGTTTCCTGAAATACAGACTGGTTTTCAGTGAAAATTTAAAATGAATGGGTAACATTTATATTCAGGAAACTAAATCTTTCCTGCTATTTTCACAACACAGCATCATGTTAAAATCGAAATAATTACAGGGCACATAATGTTCACAGTGATCTGTTTTCTGGGCCAGCTGAGAAGAAGGTGAAACCACACAGAGAAAATGATCTAATCTGGTATTTTTGAGTGTTTTATTCATAACGTTCTCAGCTAGAGCCTGACGAATGACTGGAAGTGGCTCTTTCATGTCAGATTCCTGCTGATGTGTGCGTTTGTAATAATGCGGCCACTTTGTGGTGTGACTTTAATTGGATTCATACTGGGTAACAAAATACATAATATACCCAGAAGTGATAAAATGACATATTAAACAGCTAAAATGTATCATCGGATGATAGCTCATCTCAGTATGAATAGCAAAACTGTTAGTAAGATTGTGAGGTATTTGACATTACAGTGAAAATTCACTCAAAAATAGCTATTTATCATCAAGCCATAAAAGATTTATAGGTGACTTTCTTCTTCTTTACTAGGACATAACAGAAGATTTTTAGTTGAATCAGAAATAAAATGCTAATGAACAGTCAAGAGCAGGGGTGCCCAAACTTTTTCCTCTAAAGGGCCAAAAAGCAAACTTGATTGAAGGATGTGGTTTGAATATATACCAAACAGTAAATATAAATAAATTTGCCATGGATAATTATCTAATTTATTCTGTAACATTTAAAAATAACCAGAAAATGTTGCTTTGAATCACATTGACTAATGCAGAATAATTTGTAAACATTTTTTAATGAACTTATTACAGTCAAACTAACAATCCCATTTATAACACAAGTTCAATGCTGAATACATGAGTCAAGCTTGCTTCGATTGGCTCACAGATGTCTTGTGCATCTGTTAAGTGACACTATTTACATTTTAAAAGTCTGATTCATTTACAGCACAGGTGTCAAATCCAGTTTCTGGAGGGCCGCAGCTCTGCACAGTTTTGTTCCAACCCTAATTAAACAGAACTGATCCAACTGATTGAGTAGGTTAGTGCCCTCCTAGAGTTGCGGCCCTCCAAGAATTGGATTTGACACCTGTGATTTACAGTATTCAATTGAATCTTTTAATTTCAGTTGACTTTTTTGTATCTCAGTAACAAAACAAAAAAGCAAAAGGTTATTTTAAATTCTAAACGATGATCACTGTCAAAGGACTACACCTCAACCACCTCTCCATCATTCCCCTTCTCATTTCAGATAGGATGGCGGGCCATGTAGGGTGCCATGGGTCTTACTTTGGGCATCTCTGGTCAAGAGTAAAAAAATTTATATTTAGTGATCAATTGGCATGATTTTATTTGTACATTTATTACGATTTGCTCATTATCCAATGACAGTTGGACAGCTACAATGCACGCCTTTTTTACAAAAAAAAATAAAAATACATTAAGTATTAGCCAATTTTGTGACAATATGTGAAAAAAGTAATGTTCCGTCATGCGATTGAGCTTAAAAAAACACCACCTATTTTATAAGTATTATCCCATCCACAAATCCAACTCCAAATCAGAAAAAGTTGGAACAGTGTGGAAAACACAAATAAAAAAAGAAAGTAATGATTTCTGAATTTACTTTGATTTGCAGACAATACAACAAACATTATTTAATGTGTTGGAAGTTGAACTAAAGGTGAAACAGTAAAGTAGTTACCACTTTATAATGTCACCATTTCTTTTCACAACATTAAAAGATATTTAGGGACTAAAGACAAAAGTGCAAATTACCTTTGCCAAGGGTTATGACACAACCCAGTTTCAGTCTTTATGATCCTTTCCTTCTTTGGTCCGGAGCAGACAGAGTGCATTTCTCCCAAGAAATACCTGAAATTTAGATTCATCTAATCACACTACAAATTTCCAATGTGTGATAGTTTGTTCCAGATGCCTCCGAGCCCAGAGAAGTGCTTCTGGTGTGTCCGGACACTGTTAACATAGGGCTTTCTTTTGGCACATTTGTGGATGTAACTACATATTGTGGTACTTGACATAGGTTTGCCAAAGAATCCCTAGCCCATGTGATGATATCGCTTATAGATGAATCGCTTACAGATTCTGAGGGATCAGAGATAAAAGTTGTTCATCTTAGGTTTGCATACTTGTCTATTACACACTGAAATTCCTTCTTATTTCTAGAATCTTTTAGTGATGTTATTCACTGTTGAAGGTGAAATATCCAAATGTCTTTCATATGTCACACATATCTTTTTTTGAGGAACATTGTTTTTAAACACTTCAATAATTTTCTCTCATGTTTGTTGGCAAACGGGCGATCCTCTGCCCAACTTTGCTCCTAAAGGACTAAACCTTTCTTGGATGCTGCTTTTCTACCAAATCATAATTACAATCAACTGTTGACTTCACCTGTTTTAAATCACATCTTTATTTAACCAGTTTACCTAATTACTAGCCCTAAACTTCTCCTGTCCCAACTTATTTAGAAATGTGTTGCAGGTCTGAATGACAGGAAAGGATGTATATTTACAAAGGAAATTAAGTTGACCAGATAAAACATGAAATATTTTGTGTTCATATAGTCTGCAATGAAATACAAGTCAAAGTAAATTGAAAAATCGCCACTTTTTATTTTTATTTTTATTTTATTTTGTGTTTTCCATACTGACCCAACTTTTTCTGCATTGGGGTTGTAGTTATTTGCTATTATTTCTCTTTTTTTAATTAACTTAACTTTTAATTTAAATAACTATAACTACAGTTTCGCAAAGTATAACCAATAGATTGCACACAATAGAAGAAAATAGCTGTTTTTTAATCATTTTCCCCAACGACTTACTTTTATTTGAGATATAACTGACTATGTGAATAGAGATCTTATAAAACACTTCTTGTATCTGACAGTTAAAGAGCAATATATCATTTTGAGTCAATTATCCACTTACTGACAAAAGATTTGGGAACTGATTTTCTCCCTTTTAAAATAAGCTAAGCCCATTTATTTTGTTAAATCTTCTGATTGGTTTTACCGCTGTTTTTCTAGATCTCCAGTTTTGAGTTCTTTGGGTCTTTGTAGTTTAAAGTGTATGTCATAACCTTGTGTTTGTTGACTCCTTTTTTTTTTCAGATTAGAACTGTCCTTTAAAGCTCAAAGGCAGGGTTAAATAGCTGAACAGAAAAACAGATAACAGGAAAAGTTCCCTCTCCTGCAGGACCAACATGCACCAGCACAATAGATAACTGAAATTATCTAGACAATTAAACAAAAGCCTCTAAAAGAAGAAAAATGTGTTTTGGTATAAGCATTTGCTTCCATGCCCTTTATTTAATTCAATGTTTACCAGAAGGCAAAAGCAGAACAGTTCTTCAGAGTATGTCTGGGATTTGACAGACACAAAGGCTCGGAGGGGAAGCTGGGTATTTGAGGAGAGTGAAATTTACACAGCAAATAAATGATTTATCTTTATCTCCCGAGGGTAGGGGAAGACTGTGACACAAGGCATATTCTTAGCTTTCTTAAAAATCCAGATACAAAATATAAGCCAATGGATAACCTCAAATAGATCTGGTAATTGATATATTTAAGTGTGTCATTCCAACATCTTCCACTGAAACAAACACGAGTTAGCAAAAAGGTTTACCTGAAATCTTAATGTCTTCCATTGGTCAGATGCACGGAGTCCATCACGGAGATGCATTGGTTGACAAAATGACTGAAATGTGCAAACATTTTTTAAAGCTGAAATCAACCTACAAATGGCTTACTTTTAATTCATTTTAGGGTAAATGTTTAATTAACCACCATGTATTCAATGTTTTCCCATCCTTCACAACAAGACTAATGTATCCTATCAAAATAAATGTCAAAATAAAAGTCAAAATGACATTTTAACACTGAAATCGCGACGTAAATAGAAGTTTATTTAAAATGATTGATCGTGAACATTAAAACAGCAATGGAAAAATGGTCCCAAATGTTACAAAAATACATATACCATGTATCAAGCTGGTTGAAACGTGAATACAAAAATATTCAGCATGTGTACACAGGACTGTAAAGAATTTGGGTCATGCTTCTTCTGTGAATTTATTACTCGTACCGTGTGTTGTCGGTTTAGCATGCGGTATGAACAAATAGTACTCACTTTCACAGCACAGATACACAGATACAATAAACAACATCCAGTTCATCCGCTGATCAATTTTGCTTCACGTAAAATTCATGTGCAACAGCGTATCTATACATCATTCCAAAACTAGACACAACCTGTACAGCGCAAATGATTAAAATTAGGCACCATTTCACACTGGCAGCTAACACAAAGTGATCTTTTTATATAAATCGAAAATGACAACTCCAAACAGTTTTATATAAGATAAGAATATACATTCTTCGTTGTGACATATGAGAGGTATTCTGGCTAATCACACATTTAAACTAAAAAGCACAAGCCCTCGGATGATGTTTTGAGGCTTATTTTTCTTTTCTTTTCATCAAATGTTATCATAACCTTTGCGAGACATCCCAGCTGTAGCATAAAAATGAGTTCACTGTACATTCCCTTTATATATTCTATCCGATGTGACTGAATTATTATTTAATACTCCGCTGGAAACAAAAACACAAGAGACCACCATCTAGTCTGAACTACCTTGATGTGGCGCTGACCCAGTTTGAGCCGCTTTCCGGGATTTCACAGGCCTCGATCTGGCTGCGAGTCCATCTCGATGAGCACAACTGTAAGACAAGTGCATTGGTGTGACAGGCGGCCAGCCTTTTTTCCCTTTCCCTTTAGCTTGTATATAAACACTAAAATACCCTAAGCACTGAAAGGAACCAAAGGACGTAAAAAAAAGCAACCGTTAGCAGTAGCGCCAAGACTTACAATGCTTATAAGTACCACTTCCATTGTTAGCATGAATTGGTCGATGGGTGTCGACCGTGACGGATTTATCAAGCTCCAACAGTGGCGTCCTTGATGGGAACATTGTCGACATTGATGTCACTATGGATAGTTTGTTCTTTGCACAAAAGGATTTGACGTTAGACCACAAAAGTGTCATGTCACGGTGATACATGGCACAATGACAGTAAAACAAGCATGCTCACTAAATGTTGACACTGCTGGGATGACTGATCTGGAATGATAGTGCAGAGAAGGGCATTCGGCTTCCAAACGTGCCTAAACACACACACACACACACACACACACACACACACACACACACACACACACACACACACACACACACACACACACACACACACACACACACATACACACACGCATGTTGGTTTTGGTGTTTTTCGAGGACATAGGCATAATGCATTTTATACTGTAAACATGCACTGTAAAAAATATTGGGTTTCACAAAATGGATTTGTGTTGGGGTCACATTAAGGAATTGAGTTAACTTATACACTCTAATAAATGCTTGGCTATTTAAACCCAAACTGGGTAAAATATGGGCTAAACTTTGGATTAAATTTGCTATTGGGTTCAAATCGCTGGCAGCTAGCTCTCTGCAACTCTCACATGGTCACCCACTGAAGCTAAGCAAGGCTGCGCCCGTTCAGTCCCTGGATGGAAGACCACATGGGAAAGCTAGGTTGCTGCCAGAGGTGGTGTTAGTGAGGCCAGCAGGGGGCGCCCAACCTGCAGTCTGTTTGGGTCCTAATGCTCCAGTATAGTGATAGGACTCTATACTGCCCAGTGAGTGCTGTCTTTTGGATGAGACAATAAACCGAGGTCCCGACTCTCTGTGGTCGTTAAAAATCCCAGGATGTCCTTCGAAAAGAGTAACCAATTCTGCTAATAGGCCTCTGTCCATCATGGCCTCCTATCCCTCCTCATATCATAATTGTCTTCATCACTCTGTCTCCTCTCCACCAATCAGCTGGTGTGCGGTCTGGCGCAAAATGACTGCTATCGCGTCATCCAGGTGGATGCTGTGCACTGGTGGTGGATGAGGAGATTCCCCCTTTTGTGTTAAGCGTTTTGAGTGCCCAGAAAAGCACTATATAAATGTAATTTATTATTATTATTATTATTATTATTATTATTATTATTATTATTTGTATTGTATCTGGGTGCAGCCTTTATGTTACAAGCTGATATTTTAAATCTTAGCAATTCAATGTCAGACACAATGCACTCAATGGAGCTACTAACGTCACTGTGAGGGGTAGGGTTAGGGGTGGGGTTAGGTGAGTGCATTCAAAAGCATTAGATGCAGCTCAGATTGCACCGCATCAGGTCTGCATCCAGACCCCTCTCGTTGGGTTAGTCACTATTACATCCAGAATTGGGTTACTTAGGAGAGTAACTTTTTTACAAATTTAAATAGATTAAACCTAAGAAAATTAAGTTTTAATTTGAGTAGTTTGAACAAACAACAGGTCATTTTCTGAATGTATGCAAGTATACCTATTATATGGCTTTACTCCATCCCTTTCCCCTAAACCCAATCCTCCCAGGAAACCAGTGGCTAATTCTGAATGTCAAAAGACCTTGTTAAGTATGATTTTACAGCTTTTTGAACTACTAAAACACAGCGCATGTTCTCACAAACCACTTCAACATTGTAATACCTACTTTAGGTCATACCAATGTCATTATACAAATTTTTACAACCCCTGACAAAAAGTATAGAATCGCCACTCTTGGAAGGTTCCAATGTTTAATTGTGTAGAAAAACAAACAAACACATACATGTCACAAAACAATCCAACCTTCTGGCTATATGAAACACTTTTAAAAATTGAAAGAACAATGTTGTCAATTACAACAGTTTTTACAGATCAAGCAGAAAAAAATACATGGAATCACACAAATCTGAGGAAAACTATATGGAATCATTAAATAAAAACACCACTAGTATTTTTTGCACCACCTCTGACTTTTAGCTTGAGTTATCTGAGGCATGGATTTAACATTATCCTTCATCAGTCTCTAACTTTATCTTATTGCAGTTGCCTGATCACCTTTGCAGGTTTGATCCTTGTCATGGACCATTTTCTTTCATTTCCAAAACAAATTTTCAATTGGATTGAGGTCTGAACTATTTGCAGGTCATCCTATTGACATTATATGTCTTTCCTGTGGAAAAGTTTTCACAGATTTTGCCTTATGGCACGATGCATTATCAATCTGGAAAAATTATGTCATCATCACCAAACATCCTTTCAATTGATGGAATAAGAAAAGTGTCCAAAATCTCAATAGAAACTTGTGCATTTATAGAGGATGTAATGACTGTCATCTCTCCCGTACAAATACCTGACATACAACCCCGTATTCTTAATGATTGAGGAAATTTGCATGTTTTTCTCAGACAGTTGTCTATAAATTTCATTGCAACGGCACCAAACTAAATTTCTAGAATCATCACCCTGGCCAATGCAGATTCGTTATTCATCACTGAATATCACGCTCATCCAGTCATCCACAGTCCAAGACTGCCTTTCTTTAGCCCACTGAAACCTTGATCTTTTCTGTTTACATGTTAATAATGGTTTTAGTGAGGCTTTTCTGTTTGTAAATCCCATTTTTTTAAGGCGATTTCTTAGAGTCTGGTCACAGACATTGACTCCTCTTTCTGCCCATTCGTTCCTCATTTGCTTTGTTGTGCATTTTCTGTTTTGAAGGCATATTGCTTTAAGTTTTCTGTCTTGCTTTGACGTCTTCCTAGGTTTACCAGTACGCTCCACTCCTACAACCTTGCCATTTGATTTGTCCTTGGTCCAGATTATAGACACAGCTGACTGGGAACAACCAACATCTTTTGCAACATTCCGTGAAGATTTACCTTCTTTGAGAAGTTTGATAATGAGTTATGTTAATCAGCTTGGTTCAACACCTCACTAAGGTGTGCAAACACTTTTTTAACTGCAGACTAATTAAAAGTTGTATACAGTTGTTTGTTTTAAAACTGCAAAGTACATGGTGATTCTGTATAATTTCCCTCAGATTTGTGTGATTCCATTTTTTTTTCTTGCTTGATTTGGAAAGACAGTTGTAAATGACTTCTTTCATTTTCTTTTTTAAGTGTTTCTTACAGCCAAAATGTTGGATTGTTGAATGAAAATAGTTTTGTGGCATGTACTGTATGTGTTTGTTTTTTTCTACACAATTAAACATTTCCAAGTATGGCGATTTCACTTTTTGCCAGTGGTTGTCCTTGTAAACCACCAAAACCAGTACACACACACACACATACTGATCTGGAAACATCACAAAAAATATATATGAACAACATGTTTCAAAGAAACATCACATTTGGTCTCTACAGTGTATCTCCATATATTGGATATTCAACAATCCACTTTTGGTTGCCTCCTTTATTATTATAATTTTTTTTACTTACCTCATAAGCAAAAATATATAAGAGCAGTCCAAGTAGAGAATCCCTAACCTCTTTTTCCAACAGTGCATCATCAGTCATTTTTGATGACGTTGTTTCTTCTGCATCCCTGCAGAGCCGAGTCGGCACAAAATGACGGCAAGAGTCTCAAACCACAATATCTTGGTGTTCTCCAGAAAATCACTGCAGGTTTATTTACAGGTTTAATGTGTTGCAGAAGATGATTGGATGTTGAGTTTTTCTCATAAGAACCTCGCAACTCTTTAAACTGCACTATGTTCAAAAACAATTTAATTTTAGTAACTTATATATCCCAAGAGTAATGTAGTATTTCAGTCTTTCTGCACATGTGCATGGCCTCTCGGGGTCTGGCCGTAGACGGCAGTAGTAAATCACTGTTGTAGGTCAGTTAGACTGTGATGGATGTCTCGTCTTGACATGTGGATGCACGGCGAGTCTTAGGGCTGCAGCGAGTCAGCATGGAGATCTGTGTGCTGAAGTTGTTGCCATTGCTGCCCATGGATGGGTGCTGGTATTTTGTATCAGGACCCAGAAATCTTTCGAGGTGCCATCGCCTCCATTTCCTCTTGATTTCACCTTGGACCTGAGAGATGGACAAGATCCACTTAGTTGGTCATGGACAAAATGAACTCATATGTTACTGTATTACATAAGTCAAATCACATTAAAGATATAGATTACCAAAAAAATCTCTCATTGTTTCCTCACCTTTCCATGTTCAGTCTTCAGTTGAACACAAAGGAGGATATCTTGAAGAATGTTGGAAAGTCATTGACTTCCATAGTCTTTTATTCTCCTCATATAGATGCCAATGGCTGTTGGTTTCCAATATTCTTCAGAATATCATATTTTGTGTTCAACTGCAGAAATGCATTTTTGCATTTTAGAAGAGCTATTTTAATTTCCTCAATGAACCTCTTAAATATGCATTTTTGTCATCTAATGATCTAAGTAAACATCTTTGAAGATTTTTTGCTCAATAAAAAGACTCTAATGATTGAACTATTGATGCCAATAATAACTAAAGAAAATTTTTTTTAAAGAGCATACAAGACTCTGGACTCTTTATATAGATAGATATAGATGTTTTCTCTATTGTTTTAAGCTCTGTATTTTCTTTATAAAACAACATTGTTTGTTGTTTGTAGAACGTTCTGTGTGAAAAAAAATCTACATTTTGATAACTTGGTTAAATTTTTGACTCCCAATTCCAAATAGATTGAAATTGTGATGCAAACTTGTAGTCAGTATTGCAAATCACCTAACTCGAAATTGCAAGTTTATAACTTAAAGACAATTGTGAGATATACACTTGATATTCTAAACAGGCTGAGTTCTAAGTCAATAAATTGTGCAATATCTACTTCCTCTAGAGTTATTTTCGCCAGAAGCATGCATCAAAACGTATTCCTGCAGCGCATCGTCTTTCAGAGGATATAGAAATGTGTCAAATTAGTCATATATATTACTAATAAATTAAAGCCAGTCTTAGCCATTTTGATTTTCTTTTTACAAAAAATCCAAAAAAGACTTTAGTTATTTTCTAAACAAGCAATAATGAATTAAAAATATTGTGTAAACTATTTAGATAATACTAGGATTTTAGTGCACTATGAACAGAGCGTATTTGTCAATATAAAGATCGCTAAAACTGAACTTTAAAAATAAACTGAAAAGCAAATTAACTGATTAAATGTTGTGACGCTCGAAAGAAACAGGGTATAGGTGGGATAATAGAACCAGGAACTATGCTTCTAACTACAGCTCTAGAGAAGTAGTTACAAAGTTTGCGACACAGTTTGCGAATGTTTGTTATAACAATGGATTTGGGAAACACCAAATCAACAAACTGTTTATAATGATGGAACTTGCAACCTTAGTTGGCTAATGATGGTTTTCAGAAACGCTGTTTTGATTTGGGGGGCGTTTGCTCGCGATGGCTCGACAATGGAAAAGCAGTTGTTCCCTGCGCCATGGTGGATAGTGCGTAAAGCACAAAAGTGTTTTTCATTTATTTATTTATGATAAGGCAGCCTTTGCTGCTGCACTGCACTTGACTGTGCCTGACAAATTGCAGCACTACGCATACAGAAATGCATTCTCAGTGGCCACATTTGTATATACCCTAAAAACCTAGATTATTTTTAAGGTAAAGTGGGGTTGTTTCACACATAAAATAGAATACATTTGTGTAACATGTCTAATTCTTTTAAAAGAGACCTATTATGTGCCTTCTTACAAGTCTTTCTGATGTTCCTGAGTGTGTATGTGAAGTTTCATCTTAAAATACCACATAGATTGATGATTGTTGATCCAAATTGTGCCATTTCAAACAGTCGCTTTAATTTCAAATGAGATTCTGCTCTTTTCAAAAGAGGGTGGAGCTACAAAGCCTGTGCTTCAGCATAGTGACAGATTCAAACAGGATTAACCTTATTCCTGTGAAAAACTGAAAATGTGAAAAGAAGTAGAAAAAGGCAGTCTATAGAGACTACAGTGTTCATTTGTGCATCTTAAAACTCCAAATTTATAATGCCTCTTATTTGCTATCATTATCTTCAGCAAGTGAAAACTCTAATGGCGAACGGCTGCTTCCCACTTAAGGCAGTTTTGCCAATGAGGAAGAGACTGTCACAAATGGGCGGGGCTTTCCCCCTCTGATGACACGTACAAAGGGAGAATGTCATTTGAAGTGTTCCTGCAGACTGTTTTTATGATGTGTAATTATAAAAAAATAGAAGTAATTCATTTCTACCATTAAAGGCTGGCTATATTCACACATACTGTATGCCCCACAACAGTTAAAACTCCTTATAAAAGTGATTTTTGCATAATAGGTCCCCTTCAAATGACCTAGAATAGAGCTTGCATTTTATTTAATCCCTAATAGCAACAAGACCCAAGATGCTGTGGAGATTAATGTGTATATTTAAGTAATATTCCAGCGCTGCCTTTATGTCTAGAGATGCTAACAGCCAATGTGAGCCAGAAGAATCTAAGCCAATTACAGGCTTCTTGGGCTTTAGCTTTTAGCTTTAGAGAAATTAAATGACACTTGGATATAGGAAGTGGTTTTTTATTAGTTGTGATTGCATCTACACATCCTGTCCATCCAAGTCTTACCTCTCCATTTAGGAAACAGTAGAGTACAGCGACCACAAAACCCTGGTAAAAGAAGTGAAAGAAGCTTACGTCAATGTTGGTACAGAGTAAGAATTACAAGGACATTCATTCAAAGCATCACACATAGCAGTGAACGACAATAGGCTACATATCTGGATATTCATACCAGACTGTCTAGAATGTTGCTGGCCTCAAAGATATAGGTGGGTAAGTATATTTAACTAATGGGGCAGACCCGTCCTGAATTCATGCCTGTCATTCTGCTGGTCCTGCCTTGGAAACACTGTATAATTGGGGCACTTTTTTTGTCCCAAGGCAATTTTTTCTTTGAGACAGACTGTAACCGTTTTGTATTATTATTATTATGAAGGTCACACTTAAAAATGCCCTTGAAACTTTTTTACCATGACATCATTTATGTTTTATAAATATGTAAATACGTCACAGAGTGCAATTATGACTATTTGAACTAAAAGTAAAATAGTAATTTAGATTTATATGACACATTTTTACATATTTATTTACATTTTTTAACATTTATTGCATGATTAATACATTTAAATGTCTAAAAATCTAAAAATGATAAAAGCTTTATTGCTACTGTTGTGGTCTTTATTTTTTTCCTGTTTTTCTGAAAACTGTGGGCATGTAAACATGGTCAAGACGATCTGCTGCAATTCAACCCTAGCATCAGAATGCGGTAGAAAGGTGAAGTCACTTTGAACGTGGCATGGTTGTTGGTGCCAGACAGGGTGGTGGGAGTATTTCAGAAACTGCTGATCTACTTGAATTTTCATGCACAACCATCTATAGGTTTACAGAGAATAGTCCGAAAAACAGAAAACATCCAGTGAGCATCAGTTCTGTGGGCGTAAATGCCTTACTGATGCTAGAGGTCAGAGGAGAATGGCCAGACTGGTTCGAGCTGATAGAAAGGCAACAGTTACTAAAATAACCTCTCTTTACAACTCAGGTATACAGAAGTGCATCTCGGAATGCTCAAAACCTCCAACCTTGAGGCAGATGAGCTACAGCAGCAGAAGACCACACCGGGTGCCACTCCTGTCAGCTAAGAAAAGGAAACTGAGGCTACAATTTGCACAGGCTCACCAAAATTGGACAATAGAAGATTGGAAAAACATTGCCTGGTCTGACCACAGTGTACTCATCTTCTGATGGCCACTTCCAGCAGGATAACATGTCACAAAGTGTAAACCATCTCAGACTGGTTTCTTAAACATGACAAGGAGTTCACTGTACTTAAATGACCTCCACAGTCACCAGAACTCAATCCAATAGAGCATCTTTGGGATGTGTTGGAACGGGAGAGTCGCATCATAGATGTGCAGCCGACAAATCTGCAGCAACTGCGTAATGCCATCATGTCAATATAAACCAAAAAACTTAGGAATATTTCCAGTACCTTGTTGAATCTATGCCACCAAGGATTAAGGCAGTTCTGAAGGCAAAAGTGGGTACAACCCAGAACTAGTAAGGTGTACCTAATAAAATGACCCGTAAGTGTATTTAATGAGAACAATACAATGTATTTAATACAATATAATATGCCAGTAAAATGTCTTGGTAAGAGTGCAAATCATTAATAAATCATTATTTTAACTAAATCTAAAGTAATAATTTATATTATTTTTATACATTTATATTATAAAATTGTATATTTACTATATGTATTTGACAAATTGTCATATTTATTGTATAGATTATTACATTAAAATGCATTCTTAAAATAATAAACGCTTTATTGCTACAGTTGATTGATTGACATTTTTCCTTTTTTTCTACAACAGTAATTTTATTTATTTATTGAAAAAGTACAATTATAAAATTAAATGAAAGAAAAAAAATACTTTACAAGAAAATATGCCAGTAAAAAATGAAAGAAAGAAAGAGATAGATAGATAGATAGATAGATAGATAGATAGATAGATAGATAGATAGATAGATAGATAGATAGATAGATAGATAGATAGATAGATAGATAGATAGATAGATAGGTAGATAGACAGATAGATAGATAGATAGATAGATAGATAGATAGATAGATAGATAGATAGATAGATAGATAGATAGATAGATAGATAGATAGATAGATAGATAGATAGATAGATAGATAGATAGATAGATAGATAGATAGATAGATAGATAGATAGATAGATAGATAGATAGATAGATAGATAGATAGATAGATAGATAGATAGAGTTTTAAAAATATATTTTTTCAAGCACAATATCTAAAACATAAATTAAAATATGTCGGAATCAGCCATGCCATTAAATAAAACTGAATGAACTAGTAAGTGTGTGAAGTGTTTTGAAGAGACTTTGTTTTCCAAACATCCACAGGGCAAAAGTCGCCCACAGTTGAAGAAACACCCAATTATGCAATTACAAAGAAACAGTGGCCAATAGCCAAAGTGTGTAAGCCAGAGATTCTCTTTGAGCACCCGTGAGCCGTTCTACCAGACATCATTAAACTATTCTGCTTCCTGAACAACAGTGCTACGATTAGCCTGAGAGCACGTCCTGTCACTTGTACTATTGATATTTAGGCTCGACTTTTGTTTTTGCAGCTAGCTGGAGCGATTAATTCCTCTTCCATACCTGAAATGAACCGAGAATGAGGTCAAACACAAGCCGTAGCTCGGTTTTGATGTTCTCCGGAATGAAGGCGAATATGATAAAGTTTATTCCAAAGAGTGGAATCAACAGAAGTGTTGATTTTGCCAGCCTCCTGTGGAAAAGAAGAAAAAACAACATAAGAAAAATAGCGTTATGGGATATTTTTCTGTCATTCATAAGCTGCACACAGCGCTGGCTTGAGAATGATATTATTACCAGGTTATATTGAAAAGCGTGGCACTGGAATAACAACATTAGTGATGCTGGGTAGAAAATTGCAGGTGTTTAAGAATTGAGTCTTGTTTTCGTGCGAAGCGCTGACAGAGAGCTACTTAAGGACAAAGGACATTAAATCATGGGAACGGGGCGGAGAGACCAGTGACATTTTAGATGATGAGATTGCAGTACGGCGGCTTCACGCTCGCTGCTGGAGAGACTGGCTAAAATATCCCATACTTTATGCCTGTGTTAAAATTACATAAGCTGAAATGTTTCTCATGTACCTTCTGTTCTCACTCTGCTGAAAAGACCAGAATAGCTGCTCTACAGCAGCAGATGTTTTTGAATAGAGGCTGGTGTCCCTATCAGACTTCAGAACTATGATGTCCGATGAGACTCCTGTGGTCAACTAGATTTTGTTTTCTGTCGGTTTTTAGGCTGGTTTGGAGACGAGACTAGCAATGACCAGTTGAGCAAGCATTTAATCAGTACACTGAAAAAAAATGATTCATTAGATTTACCACATTTTACTTAAGGTAAGCAAACCATTTATACGGGCTAGATTTAAACAAAAAGTTGAACATTATGAAATACTATATAATATTTAGTTTGTTTAAATTCAGCCCATATAAATTGTTTACAACCGCTCATCTTAAAAACTCATTTTTTGAGTGCAGTTTCCCAAATATGAACAAATTTACTGACATAATTTAAAGGGATAGTTCATCCACAACTGAAAATTATTTACAAAGTTATTATTTACTTACCCATCACTTTCAGACCCTTTGACTTTCTTTATTCTGTTGAACACTAAAGAAGATATTTTGAAGAAAGCTGAATACTTGTAACCATTGACTTCCATATTTGTTTATTTGTTATTTGGGGGGCTTGCTATCTATTTAAGGTTGTAGGTTTGCCAGAAATATAGTTATGAGGAAATGGTGAACTATTTCAAGAAACATTAGCTTTTAAATGTCAGGTGAGAAGTTTTTTTTTTTAATTGAATGCATTGTTAAGACAATAACTAAAGACTTGCTCTGACTAAATTCAGTGAATCAGTGAGTTGTTGACTGCAGACTTACATTACTCTGAACAGATCATCTGAATAATTGAGATGTTGAATTGAGAAACTCACTCTTACCAGATCATTTGTACTCAAAAACTGCTTTTTGTTATTTATGGCTCTATCATACACCCGGCACAATAAGGAGCAAGATGTGTTTGGCGTGATTTGTTGCTATTTTAAAACCAGCACAACTGTGATTTTCATGTTTTGCACCATGTTGTTTAAATAGCAAATCTATTTGCCCCACTTTGTGGACTCGTGGATGCTCTGGTCTAAAAAGGAGGTGTTTTAAGGCACATTGTTGGCACGTTGCTATTTTGAGGAACGGAAATAGACCACGTTATTAAAAACAGGTCTAAAGTCCAGCGCAGAGCGTGTTAGTTATGCAGTAGTTAGTTAGTTTATTCATGACAATTTGCATTTTTATTTTAATGTTATTATTAGCAGTTTTATTTATTATATGCATATTTATATTTGTTTTAATAAAAACTAGTTTAGATTTATCCATCTGTCGGGTTTTGAAGATGTATGCATCACCATATAGGGCATAAGAAGAGGATGAGTGTTTGGATATAACTCACATTTTGCCACATTTTGTTATTATCAAGCATTTTTTTTGTTGGGTGGTAACTAGAACTGAATTTAGAAAAAGTTTTGAAACATATCTTTTTGCCAAACTAACGAAATAAAATATGTAGACTAATGGATGCTTTTAGTGGAGTGAATTTCCATTGTTTTTTTATCAACGAAAATCAGGAGTAAAGTAAAGAGTAAAAGTAAAGTAAAAAAAAAAGTGAAGGGGCGTGAAGGGGTGAGATGAGACTCTTATATGTTAAATCCATGTTTTGCTCAAAACACACCCACAACTCATTAAGAGAAAAAAACACAACCCTGTTAGACCATGCGCCAGGGCGCAAAACTTTTTTTGTCCTTAAAATAGTAAAAGTGGATTCGGATGCCCTTATTGCTTTTGCGCCATGCGTTTTAGACTGTGCACCTAGACTGCTAAAAAGAGACCATAGAGTTTGTCTTGCTTCTTGTCCAAATATAAAAAAATTCTTAACTTAAGACAAATTTTATAGACAAGTAAAAATATTGTTTTGTTTTCAGAAATAGTCCTATGTAAGTGAGGGGTTTGTTTTTTTCCAGTACAAAATAACAAGGAACAATATTTTATCGAAATATATTGAAATAAAAAGTACTACAATATGATGCTTTAAAATGTACTGAAGTAGAACTCAATTTCTGAAGATTCATTCATTCGTTTTCCTTCGACTTAGTTCCTAATTTATCAGGGGTCACCACAGTGGAATGAACCAGCAAAATTGTGAAGATACTTAACAAATGAACTAGCATGCAATTAAGAAGCATAAATACTTTATTACCATTCACCAGTACACATGATGTGATGTATAGTGTGATGCATCATTTGTGTAAACAGACCTTTATTCATGTAGTTTTCGTCCCAAGCTTGCATTTAATATTTGCTAGATGTTTAAGCTTTGAAAATGATGGAAAAAAGTTAAAATAACTAGTAATACGGGTCATTAGTATACCCATACAGAATCTGTGCCCATAAAAATCCACAAAAAACTCTCTGCAGATTAGCCCATTCATTATTTGTGATTGTAAATATGTATTTATTCAAGTTTTAAATAAATTTCAGAAATACTACTGAATATTATGCAAATGTAAATGATTTGTGTACAATTCAATTTGTAAAGCTTTTTTTCCTGTCTTTTAGTGGATGTATTATATGAGAGAGCTTTTGTAGTTTTTTAACCAAATAAGAGGTTCTAAGTGATTTTTTTATGTGATTGAAGTAAATAATTAAAAAATTTGGTTAAAGTTTAAAAAGAAAAAAAAAAAACATTCAGCAGATTCTGTCTGTCTCTGATCATTTGCAATATTCCCAAAGTCATATGATAGCATAAATTGAAGAAAAGACTGACATTTAAGTCTCTATTCACAGATAATCTTCTCCTTTGCTGCAGATCTCAATTCTCATTCCCATTTGTCAAGACGTCTCACACAGGTTAATATCCAGCCTAACATCTCTTTTTGAGTCATAGAATGTTCATACAGTATTGCTGTGAACTGTCCCTTTAAATTTTGACCTGGTTTTCTCAGCAGTGCAAGGAGATTAAAGAGAACAAATTACAGAATTAATCTTATCTGAACTTAAAACCTGTTTGAATGGCATCCAAAATACTTACGAATATTGGTTTGATTCATTTCTCCCGATGTCAGGACAGTTGATCTTCTGCCTCAGTATCCGGATGATACAAATGAACAAAATAAAGTTCATCTGTTGTTGGTGGAAAAACAAAATAGCAATAGTTATTTAGAGCAGATTTCAGCGCAGTACAGCTTACTGATATCACTGAGAGTTTAAAAAAGCCAGCGGTACTAAAGTACAGTGTTTGTTACAATAGAAGAAAGCATGAGTTGATGTATATTAGCAAAGATACAGAACAAATCTTGCTCCTTCAGACGCTAGCGAGACAAACAACATTAACCCAAAGTAGCCAAGATGGACTGTGCTTACTTTCTGACTCGCAAAAACAAACTATAAGAGTGCGGGAAGACAAGAAGTGCTTGAGTTTTCCAGTCTAACATTAGCAAATCCCAGACACCATAAATAAATTTGCATAAACATTCGACTAGAGTGACACATTTTCCTCTCTGTTTCTCTATCCCTTGAATCCCTCAAAAGAAAAGGCAAGAAGGGCTTGTTAGAATGCTTTTCGCACCTTTCAGGCTTTATTGATATTTCATGTATAATGTAAATCCCTCTAGGGGTGGCATCGGCTGACACATACGTCAACAGGTTTGTGTGTTACTTAAATCTTAACACTCAGCACTAAGGAAAATCAATACAGTGTTTGGTGATGAAATAAACAAGAAGCAAAATCCAGCAAAATGACAAAACTCAAAGTAAAATTAATGAGAGAGTGATCGCTGGGAATGACGTCACAGTAATTATCAGACGACTGATCAAAGGTGTGTGTATATGTGTGTTTATTAATTGTGTAATCTGCAAGCTTGCATTAATTATTTCAGGGGAAATTGTATTGATTATGTGGTGCAGGGTTAACACATGGGTTTGTGAGATTTGTAGTAAAGATTATTGACTTATAAAACAAAAAGGCTTTTCTTTTAATAGAAAGTGAAAATACAAACATAGATATATTACATAATATTAAAAGGACAAATAAAAGAATAAATATAAAATAACACAATAATACATAAAAAGGAAAGCAACAAAGGAATTACAAATATAATATAAATATAAAGAAGATATACATACATACACTTGTAGCAGTGCGATATGGATGAATATTGGCACTGGTAAGAGGAGTGCATTGCCTTAGTGCCCCTCCAGCAGTGAAGTAAAGTAACTAATTACAAACTACTGTATTTGAGTTGTTTTTCCAGGAATTGTAATTTACAAGGTAGTTTTAAAAATGTGTACTTTTACTTTCCTTTGAGTACCTTTTTTAGTGCAGTATTGATACTTTTTCCTTCAACCTGCAGTATACTTTATTTCTTTCTTGTCTATGGTGATTGGCTAAAGGAAAAAAATCAGTCCTGTGATTCCTGTCCAATCAAATCGCACATAGAAAGTAAATCGCAGGATACTGAACAACATCAACACATGGGCACTTTATAAATGCAGCAAACCTTTCAGAAGCACTAAAAATGTCCAAGAAGATGTTCAAAATATTTACACACATTGACGCACAGACTTTTAAAAGACTGGATGTCACTGATGAGAAAATAGATGTCGACTGAATGATGACTGAAATCACCCAACAGCCTTAAACAATCACTAATTACAACAAATAAAAAATGAAAGGAAGGACCAAATGAATGAAGGATTCAAAGAAAAACAGATCAAATTAAGGAAGGAAAGAAAGGAAGGAAGAAAATAAGGAAGGAATGAATAAATGAACAAGTGAATAAAAAGAGGACCTCATGAGGGAGAGAACAAAAACTATGAACGAAAGAACGAATTAATGAGCGAACAAATAAAGGGAGGAATGAAGGAAGGACCAAAGGAATGAAGGAATGAACAAATGAATAAAGGAAGGACAGAACAAAGAACCAAATGGAGAAAGGGAAAAATATATAAACAGGAAGGACCACGTGAATGTAGTAAGGATTTAAGGATGAACTGAACAAACTAAGAAAGGAACAAACAAATGAACAAAGGACCTAACAAAAATATGAATTAGTGAACAAATAAAGGGAAGAACGAAGTAAGGACCAAATGAATGAAGGAAAGAACAAATGAATGAATGAAGAAAGGAAAAAAACAAACAAACAATGGAAGAAAGGTTGGAAGGAACAAACAAATATAGGAAGATCACTAAATGCACTACAGAATGTTTCTTTTACACATCCCTGCACAAACTGCTTGTAAATGCAAAACAACTTTTTACATCGTAATACTCACTACTCACTACTTTTGAGAAATTTTAAAAGGGCTACTTTTTACTCATACTTTGAGTAACATTCACAACAGATAATTTTACTCTACTTGCACTACATTTTTAGGCATGTAATGATCCTTTTACTTGAGTACAATTTTTCAGTACTTGTTCCACCACTGCCCAGCAGTGACGATAACAGACATATCACACGGCTATGCGTGTGATATTGCGTTTATACAACAGTTTGAAGGCATAATTGTGTGTATAAAAAAGAAAATCAAAAACAGAGAGTCTAAAAACCCTTTTGTAATAGGAACTACTTTCTTCCATCATTCATTCACATCTGCAGCTGACGTCAGAACAGCAGAAATCATTGCAACTTCACCAACGTTACTTTAGAGCTAGTATTTGAATGATTCTCCTGCATTATGCCTAAAGTGATGACAAAACAGGTGATTTTACTGACATTTTAAGATTATAAGGCTGAACAGCATGAAATGCCATCAGTCTACACACATTTCCCATTATTTCTCTGTTGTGATCGAGAGATTGAAATAATTAACCACGAAAAAGCCAAAGCAGCACAAACATATGCTGTGATAAAGATAATGACAAATGCTAAACACATGCAGGCATTTCTTCTTTCTTTCTTTTTATTGAACTAGTCTGCAGTAACCAAAATAGTAGACTCATTAAAAACTAAAAGTGGCCAACCAAAAAGTGGGTTATACAAAGAGTGGCCAACACAAAATACACACTTTCCTGATATCTGAGTCCCATCTCACACTCAATACTCTACAATCATATGGTATTAATTATTAATTATTAATATAATAGGCACTATCCTCATAAATAAACTTTATAGTTGCAATCTAAACAACTACATTCCTGCCTAAAAAAGCCTTAAAAGTGCATCATGTTGTCCAACAACAGCAATATTTGTCAAACGGTAGAGTATCCTCAGCTTGTTGCTGTATATGGGTGGAGTGAAACAAAAGGGTAAAGGGTGAAAAGGCTGAATAAGTACTGTTAAGTACTAATAAGAATAAGTACTGTTAAGTACTTTATATATATATATATATATATAGCTGGACTCCATTGCTTTACATGTTTAGACTTGCTGTCTGCATAGATTGATTGTGTCTTAATGGAGACTGCTGCAATTAATTCTGCAAAGAACTAACATAATGACAGCACATTTCTCTGTAGACAAGTAATAATTTGCTACCAGACAGTCCTGTAATCATCAACCGTGAATGAAAGCAAATATAACATGCAAAAGCAGCTTTCTCTAACCACAATAATGCTGACATGTCAGAAACACTCACCAGAATGGAAGCTAATATCGGGGTTTTGATAATCCACCAAAAAGGATCGGAATTTTCAATTATATCCCAGCATCTACAAAACACCATACAATCGTTTATTAAAATCCATAATTAAATATAAATAAATGAAATATAAATAAACACACACACACACACCAAAATGTATGTAATACATACGTAACAGTATTGTAATAAGCAACTAATATTTGTGCGTATTGTGCGTATATGTCTCTATACTTAAATGCTACTGACTTTTGCTTCTCTCTTTCTCTCTTGACTTTAAATACGAAGCCTTGTATGTGTCTTACCCAACATCATTGAAGTAAGCCTTGGCAAAGCTCCAGGCCATGATGAAAACGGTTGGGCCTCCTGCAGCAAGGTGAAGAGAGAAAGTATTACCGTTACTTTGACACATGGACATAATTGAAGGTTAATGACAGGTTAATAAAGAATCAGATGTATTACCCCAACCGATGAGGATGTAGCACCAGAAGTACTTCCTCTCAGAAAAGAAGGAGACGGCGAGAAGAGCATGAATGTACAGACCTTCCACCAGCAGCCAGAAGAAACTGGCCATAATGCAGTACTGGAAAAACACAATCACAGCTTTGCAGCCAACCTGGAATTGAGAGAAAAGTGAAATTAAATTTGTGTTTGAAGAAGTCATTCACAGACTCGAGTGCAAGAGCATGCTGACATTTACCACAATCATTTGTCACAACAGATTGTCAATTGTCTTTTGTTGTGGTGCAACTGATATTTACACAAATGTCTTCTACAAAGATGATTTTTTTTTTTTTTGGACAAAATAATTATTTCAAATATCTCTGAAGCTCAAATATCTGTCCAGCTGGTGTTAACATGCATGTTTGGTGATCCCATCAAAAGAATTAAAAATGTAGTCCATCCCCCAAAAAAGTCACAATTTCCTCAAGTGTTTACAAACCTTTATAAGTGTCTCTTTTTTCCCTTGAACACAAAGAATATATTTTGAAGAATATTTGAAACCTGTACTCAGTGACTTCAATGGAAGAAAAAAAAAAATACATGGAATGTCATGGCTACTGGGTTGCAGACGTCTAAAATTTATTTTGTTATGTTTTCTTGAAGTGGTCGAAAGTAGACAAACTCAAAGCATTTTCGACTTTGTTTACACGTGTATTTAGCATCATACATTTGAATCGTTAAGTAAACATCTGTGGTGTAAATGGGGCCTCCTATAACAAAACAACCATTCATTCAATAGTTTACAAATCAATAATCTTCTACATTATATTTTAAGTATATTACTAAAGATAAGCAGCAGGTAGTGCTGTCGCCTCACAGCAAGAAGGTCGCTGGTTCGAACCTCGGCTCAGTTGGCGTTTCTTTGTGGAGTTTGCATGTTTTCCCTGCCTTCGCGTGGGTTTCCTTCGGGTGCTCCGGTTTCCCCCACAGTCCAAAGACATGCGGTACAGTTAAATTGGATAGGCTAAATTGTCCGTATGAGTGTGTGTGTGTGTGTGTGTGTGTGTGTGTGAATGTGTGTATGGATGTTTCCCAGAGATGGGTTGCGGCTGGAAGGGCATCCGCTGTGTAAAAACTTGCTGGATAAGTTGGCGGTTCATTCCGCTGTGGCAACCCCGGATTAATAAAGGGACTAAGCCGACAAGAAAATGAATGAATGTTTTATTTATTTATTTTTTATTTCTTTCTTTCTTTCTTTTTTTTTTTTTTTTTTTTTTGCTTACAGGGCATTTTAATAGAAGATTAAGTTTCAGTTTCTTGTAAAGCAACTTTTTAGGGCTAAATAAGCTTGATGTATACTGTAGCTGCAGTGTCATTCAGTGTTCTTTATAGCTCAACAATGTCAAAGGGGAGCAGAAACTGTTGAGCATAATTCACAGCAACTGCAGGACCACAGTGCAACAAATCACTAGCAGATACAACAGTGGTGACAGAGTAATGAGCACACAGTTCATTACAAACTTGTACAGCATAAAGACGATGACCCAGTCGGAAACACATGGTAACCATACACCATTGCCAACAATGCATTAAATAGGCATACAATTAACAAGATTGAAGCATTGATGATTAGAATGAACACAGGCTGGCCTGACAAATCAAGATCCATTGAGTATAACATTAAATTCAAAGAGAATGTTGACATTATCTGATACTGAAAACTAGACCTATTGCCAGCTCCGTAAACTTAAGAATAAAGAATGTGAGCCAGAGTTGGTTCAATTGGTTATTATATGGGTGGTCATAACATTAGAGCATGCCTCTGTATTTTAAATACAATATATTATGCACAGAGCACAATTCCAGTTTGTATAAATTAAATTAAATGATTATAAAAGGAGACATACAAACAGAGACAGTAAAATTCTGTTTTGGCTTTACTTGATAAACAATAGCAAATGTGAAAAAGCATTAGTGATAAAATTTCTGCTCATTCTCCACAAAAATTCATTGAAAACATGTAGAAAAAAATGACTCCAATATTGCAACCAATCACTGCTAATCATAAAGAACCCATATGACGATTATGGTGACTGAACCGAAAGATATCATTTAAACGAGCCATTAAAATGATTAGTGCTTGTTACTTCATAATGACATTACATCTGTTTATATAATATGAAGGATGAATGCATTAACTTTAAATTGAAAACAAATTAATTTGCCTCATGATTTTCTAATTTACATATATTAAAATGCATTGAATTATTGTGTAGATTTAGTTCACAAAAAAAAGACAGTCATGTTTTTTGATTTAGTAAAAACTTTCATGCAGTGTGATGTGCAATTTCTCACATTACCAACCGCAAAAACTGTAGGTAATTATGTGTTTGTCAAGTATTGCCAAGCTACTGCAGTATCCGGTTCCAGATTAGCACGGGTAATAGGCTTTGATGAAGCCGGTTTTTATTTGGGTGAGCAGTGGGAGGCAGAGAGGAGTTCGTGAAGGGAGGACAGTCAGACACGGCAGGAGTACTATAAACAAATAACACACTGCAATGAAGGCAGACAAGAGGGTGTAAGTGGTTAAAGGCGAAAAAGGAAAAGCGGAGCAAAGCATTGACTGAAAAAGTCATGTCCTTTTGCTGGATAGCAGAATGAATTAATAATAACTCTTAACTTCCGATTGTTCAATATAAACAAAAGGATCATGCTGAGACCTTTGGATGCAGAAACGTTTCAACACAGTTAATGAGCTATGATGCTCATATCACTGAATATATAATAAACTAGTGATGCATAGGATGGTTGAGTAGTGCCAGGAGTATGAAAATGTTTTCATAAAAAGTATGAAATATGTTATGAAAGGTTTGTGGTCTGTAAGACTTTTTTAAAAGAGTTTATTAAGCATGATGCATGAAATAGCTTTTTTGAATATTTCATTTCAAGCAGTGTTTGTAATTTAGCTGTTTGTGAATGCAAAAGGTTTGCAAAGTTTTAAAGATCAAAGTGAACAAAGCCAGTATTTACAGTGTCATTTCTGTGAACTGATCTACACAGATCTATAACAGATTAATGAAGTTGTAGAAGGTAGCATTAGTCACAATACCATTTGTTTTAATTGACTTGTTCAAAACAGCTGATTCATTCAATTTGGATATGACTAAAGTAACTGAAAGTGAAAGCATGATAGATCATTGAAATCCTGAATTCATTCAGTAACAGATCACCACTGCTTTACTCAGAGACGAATGGACTTGGCATGTCTAAAACACTGTGTTATGATTAATAATTGTATTGTTTTTTATCATTGCAAAAAGCTACATATTTGACACCAACATATTTGAGTCTAACACACTATTAGTAGAAAAAAGAAGAGTTGAAAATCAATTAATTTAAAGTTTGACATCACATTAAGAGTTTACATGAAATTATAATCCTTATTAATAATCTAATATTAATATTATATTATATTATAATATTATAATTAATGTTAATATTATTAACATTTAATATTAATAGCCTTATGGTACATTTGAAAACTATTCCCGGATAAAGAAAAATGCAGTTTCACTAATTATTCTCTGTAGATGTTGGACAAATTAGCAGGTTATGTATTACATTTCTTATTTATTATTCCGATTTACTTTTCATGTTTATAGGGTATGTCCAGCTCAAAGTAGCAGGTAGTTTTTAAGAAAGAGAACTTGAATAAGTATATAAAAAAACTAGTCACAACTCAGTGTCTAATAAGAAGAACTAGTAATCTATCTTTTAAATCAGTACTATTAGTCTAGAGGTTACCCTGCAGTCCACCTTACAATCCTACAATTTTTCAAAACATAAAATACATTTTACTTATTAAAATACATTACACTCCAGTTATTTTTCATTGAATGTTTCAGATGACAAATACAATAGAGCAGTGGTCACCAAACTTGTTCCTAGAGGGCTGGTGTCCTGCAAATTTTAGCTCCAACCCTAATCAAACACACCTGAACAAGCTAATCAAGGTCTTACTGGGTATACTTGAAACATTCAGGCAGGTGTGTTGAGGCAAGATTGAGCTAAACCCTGCAGGGACACCGGCCCTCCAGGACCAGGATTGGTGACCCCTGCAATAGAGGGTGCTGTATACTTTTTGTGATTCTGAAAACTGTTACTTATGCCTAGTTCAGACTGCGTGATTTTAGCCCCGATTTTGGCTCGCCGACAGGTTTTGAGAAATCGCCGACAAATGCCTGAAATCACAGGTAAATCGCTGCTCGTGCACGTGAGTGACAATCACACAGTATGAACAATTAAAGACGCGATCTGAGAGAATCGCCGATGAGTCGCCGATGCCTGTGAGATATTTGGCATGCTAAATATGTGGAGCTGTCGGCGATTCAAATCATGCCGTGTGAATTGAGTTTTGACTAAAAATAACATCAGCGATCGCCTACAGCCAATGAGAGTGCAGCTTTCACTTGTGTGTGCGTGTGTGTATACCTGCTGCAGGCCAGCGGGAGGCTGGGGGAGAAGTTAAAAGCTCTCTTTTTCGGTTTATTTGGACCCACGAAATGGAGGAAAAACTAGTGGAGGTTTGACAGGACTCAGGAGCAACCGTGTCTGTTTGACATTTCATACAGAAAGAAATTAGTTTATTATCAACGTTGAGGAGAAATGGCTAATTCCCTTTAAACCCAGGTGAGCAAACATGTACATGTTCTACCCCATTAAAGGCTTCTTTCTCATTATGTAGTTAATAACAAAAGATATACTACATGTTTTTGGCTGTGAGACGTAGTTTGGACGAAGTTGTCGGCGATTCTCCCTATAGTAAAGTCATGCGATGTGAATGTCCATGTCGCCGAACCATCTTGCAGTGTAAACAAAGCAGCGACGAAACGCTAGCCCAGATAGTCAAGCAGTGTGAAAACATCTGTGACTCGACTAGTTTGAAAATCATGCAATCTGAACTCGTCATTAGGGTATGTTGTTCTGTACGTTTCAGATGAGTGTCATTCTTTTAAATGTTTATGAGAAGGCAGGGATTGATGTACAGATCACCTCAACCAGCAAATAATTGACCTAAACGCCTCCCTTAACCCAACCAATTGTGTTTTCAAAAGCAAACGTAAGAGAAAAGTTCACTGAGACCACCTATTTTTATACTCGGTTTTGCTTTTA